TGGATGTTGCCCCAATGAAAGGTAAACAACATATACCTATTGTTTATTGATTCCTTTACAGAACCCTCATATTTCATGGTTGCAAATTAACAACCAACCACCATTTGTCTATTATTGGAAAATTTTCTTTGCTCTCATTTTTCATTGTTATAACCCACGTGTGATTTCTGTCTTTTTGTTATAGCTTTTCTCATAATTTAGATAATGTCCATAGAATAGTTTCCAGTTGGGAGACCTCTGGGCCAAAGAATATAGATATATTTATGGCTCTAAGTTAATATTTCCCATTTTTTTACACAGTTTTATTGGCATATAATTCACATAGCATACAATTAAATAGTTCATATTTCCCATTTCAAAAGTGTGCTAATTTACAAAGCCAGCAGAAATGGGCAGATCTTGCACCCTTACCAACACTGAGAATTATCGGGGTTTTTTTTTAAGTTGCTAGCGATGGAAGAAGCAACAGCGCTTCATTCCTGTGAAGGAAAACAATGAAGAAGGACAAGAAAGAGTGCTGTAAATATATAACGCAGCATGTGTCAATTCAACGCTTGTAGGTACATAATTCAGTGAAAATAGTGACAGGAACCATGTGGTGCCACCACTAACCACAAATGTCAAATTTCTCCCCGCCATTAACAAAGACGCACCGGCTTCTACCTGGGCCAGCCTTCCCCTCCCAAAGTCTTGTTTCAAGGGCATCCAGTTATTTCATTTGCAAGGTATTGGACACGGGGCACAGATGGACTGGAGTAAAGGATACCTAGGCCTTCCTGACTCTTCTCCTTGGCTCTGATCATTTGCCTGAGACAGGTCATTGTTTCCTCTCCTCTGGGCCCCCGAGGATCAGTCTGGCCAAGTTACACACCTAACAACTGAAGCAACAAACCAGAGTGGCCAAACGGGGAACATGGAATTAAAGACTTCCTTCCTGCATGGTTCTCTTCCTGTAGGAAGGAAGGCAGATCATACAAACTGAACATGGAAAGCAAAGGGTTATCGTGGGAACACAGTGGACTGATAGTCAAGGATGAGTTCTAGATCTTCACTGTGTGACTGTAATCATTTCCAAAGGTAGCCACCATCCTTCCCTCCCTGCCTGTAGGCACCTGCCCCTCCTCCAGTCAAGAAGTAGAGTCTCTTTGCCCTTACTTGGGATCTGAGCTGGCCTTACTAACTTGTTTAGCCAATAGAATGGGGAGGGAGTGATGTTCTGGGACTTCCAAGGCTGGGTCAAAAGAAGCCTTGCTATTTCTTCTCCATCTCTTGAACAATCCCTCTCAGGACACACCCGCTACCTTGTGAGAATCCATGTGGACGCTCTGTGGTTAACAGTCCCTGTCGAACTTCCAGCCCAAAGCCAGTATCAGGTGCCTGCCAGGTGAGAGCTCGACCGTGAACATCCAGCCTATTCATCCGACCTTGTTCTACCTTAACCGAGAGCCTGCAGATGACTCTTGATGCCAAATGCAAGGCAGTCTCCCAAGGAGAATCGCCCAGATGAACCCAACCAATCCATAGAACCATGAATAATAATAAAAAAATTGCTTTAAGCCACTCATTGCTGGGTACTATGCAGCAATAGATAACCAACACAATTGCCAACTTGCTTTTCACTTAGACAAATCAATCCTCATCTTGGACCTAAGTCTCCTAACATGTAACATGAGATCAGAGATTCTCGTAGTCACATTCAGCCATACAAGGGGGTCTTGAGACGTTTGCGACAAAATTCCATGATGCTTCAACGTTTTCACACAAACTTTCTGAAGACCCCTCTCTCCCTGCCCTGTGAGTCTATAACTTCTATTCACCAAGACAGCTTCAAACCGATGATCTGTGGCAGGTCCGTTTTCTACGGAATCAGCCAGGGCTCAACAAGATGCTTACACAGGAAGTCAATCTCCTGATGGTAAAATGAACAATTTAAGGAGGACCAGAAAGAATTTAAAAAGAGTGCTAGAAGAAAACAGAGAAGAGAGGAACATAAAGAAAATAGTAACGTCTCCTGGGGGGGATAAAAGAACAATCACTACTTACTCATTATCATTACTACTTACTCATCACGATATTTAACGCGTTTAATAACATAAGTCTTCTGATCAATTCTGTGTTTGGCTTTGAAAACTTGGCCATAGCCACCTGAGCCGATCGGTTCTATTTCAGTAAAATCCTTCACAAACCTTCAACAATAAATAGCACATGTTATTTTGAGGTGCAAATCCCACCATGACCACCTCTCTTCCCTTGAATATCATTTGTCAATGGAATATATAACAAACACGGTAAGAGCATCCACATCACAGAACCTCTGGAAACACAGAGGCTAGAAGGCAGACCCTCTTTTCTTTCTTTTTTTTGGGGGGGGGATCATTTTATTGAGGGCTCTTACAATGCTTATTAAAATCCATACATCAATTGTATCAGGCATATTTGTACATATGTTGCCATCATTCTTTTCTAGATAGTTACTTTCTATGGAGCCCTTGGTATCATCTCTTTTCCCCCCCTCCCCCCACCCTCGTGACCGCTTGATAGATTATAAATTATTTTCATATCGCTCACCGACC